ATGCGATCTGACATGGTACGACGTATTGAGAATATAGGTTGGGCATGGAGCAGTGCTAAACTTCCAACCAATGAAGTAAAGATAATCACCCTGTTCCTGGGCTTGTTTACCTGATAAATCATGACTAAAAGTACGGTTGACTAATTTAGTGTGAGAAAAAATACTGTTCATTAGCTTAAAAAAATACAGCTTATAAGCCAAACAAGCCCAAACGAACCGGACGAATATACAACGGTTATACTCGACATTTCCCATTTGTATAAACTGTGTAGTTCAGAACTGGTGAAAGCTAAAAAACGGACAGTTGAGACTAGGCCAAAGTAGCACCAAGACATAAAAAATTGGATAGTTCACGACAGTCAAATTATATCAGTTTTACAGAGAATTCGCAAGAACACTGGGTATCACATTTTTCGCAAGTGAACTAGCATGTTAAACAACAGACCAACTGAACTGTATGTGATTTTTCCATATCAAAAGTATTGAGGTACAAAAAGGAACTAGTCTACTTCTGTGCAGCAGCATCTGTTAGCTTTGGAATCGTATCGTCTTCGCCATGGGAAACACAAATATCAATTTTCGCAGGCAAGATTAAGGGTATGGTATCAACTGCAACTGCTCACATCATTACCAAGTCTCTCCATGCCCATATAATCAACTAATTTCTAGAAAACTTGAGTCACGCAGCATACACACTTTCTGGCACAACGAAGCATGCTCATGCAGGCAACTCGAGCTTAACATTGTTCTTCCAACTGCAATGATCAACATGGAAGCGTCAATACTCAGTAACAAAGAAATATGATGATAGATGTTAATGGTATGTGACATTTCACAACGGTATGCAGTTTACCTTAAGAAATAATAGTAAAAGAAATCTGCATACAGAGCTGTTTGCACCAAACCAGCGAGCCAAGCTGAAAGAGATAGACCATTAGTGGACAACAATTCTGATAAAACATGTGGGATAAAACACTATACCATAGTGACAACTTACGGATCCATCTGCTGTGATGACCCTCCGTGAAATAACGGTAAATCCAGTTTAGAATGTAAAATGCACGGTAGGCCCTGAGAAAACAAGTATGGTGTTACTATAAAGAGACAAAGTAGCTAGAGAACTGAAAAGTGTGAAGAGAATTTAATCTTCTAGAGAATTTGTTCGTCTCATGATGCAACTTTGATATGTCATACTCCTATTTTGTCCACTCTAGGAAAGATATACTCCCTCCGTACATGAATAAATCAATTCCTAGAGTTATCTTATGTCAAAGTTTTTTTTATGTTTGACCAAATTTATAGAAAAGACCACAAATATTTATGAAACCAAATAAGCACATTATGAAAATATATTTTATGGTGTATCTAATGATACTAATTTGGTGCTATAAATATTTGCGCTCTTTTATATAAATTCGGTCAAAACTTAGAAAAGTTTGACTTAAGACAGAATTGATTTATTCAGATATGGAGGTAGTACTAAACTGAAAATTAACCAAAAAAGACAATCCAAGTAAAATGGTAAACAAAGAAAAACATAGTTGCATATAGTGCATGCCTGAAATTAAGCTAGAAACCCAGGATCAAAGGTTAAGTTTCTTTGGATTTTTGGACTCCGAGACTATCCCTCCCTCCCTCTAAAATATGAACTCCAAATAACACGAGATGATCCATTACTATATTTCTATAGCATCAATCAGATATTAACTACACTATACGCGTCTGAAATTCTTATATTGGTTTGTGCCACTTATTGAGGATATGCATATCTATTAAATGCTGGTATATTTCAAGACTGCAGCATTGAACTATGTTCAATGCCATAAATTGTTTCATCTTTACTGGATAGCAGGCTTTGAATACAACAGATGTGTTCAGAAAAATAGCAAATTTGCCGACAAAGGAGTAAAAAAACATACCCAAGGAAGAAAACATATTGTCCAGTTAAGTTATCCACATTTCTGCTTCTCTGGAGCAACACTAACTGTGGGAGAATGGCCACTGCCTCCAAATAGATTGAAAAAGCCCAGCATATCTGCAAAGGAACAGTATTTTAGCCTTTTAGGCTACTCTGTCTCCATCAATGAATCTTTGGAACAATTAGTAACACTTCAGTATACACATAACTTATAATATTTTGAGGATTCTGATATGTTATCATTTAACTTCCATTTTAGTAGCTAATGATCACAGCAACTATGATAAGGTAAGACAATTCAAGCCAAACAGGCAATTACTAATAAAAGAAAGTATGTAAAAGCAATTGAACTGTACTAATAGATTTGCAAAAGTGTGAAGAGATTCTGATCAAAGTATATGGGTGTGAACTGAGCAAACAATTGTAAATTTGGAAAAATTATAAATGAACTTCGTAGAGCAAAATGCAGTTTTAGTTTCGCACTACGTTACACGGATACGTGGCTGAGGGAGCGTATCGCGTGTCGGATACGTATCCGATACAGATACGCGTCCGATACGTATCTGCGGAGTATCCGATTTTTTATTAATTTCGCAATTCTTGAGTACGCCTGTGGATACGTATCTGTATCTGGGATACGGCCCAGCCCAACAAAAACAATGTCTCCCTGTGTCTCCCGACGCCCTAGCCCCCAACACTCGCACCTCGTGTGGTCGCGCCGCCTCCAGCAAACACGCGCAAGGAAGCCTCGTCCCTGCTCACCGGTCACCAGCGATGAGCCTCCGCCCCCGCTTGCTGGCCGCCGGCGACGAGCCTCCGTCCCCCGCTCACTAGAGACGAGCCTCCATCCCCGCGCACGGCCTCGTGCGTACATGTGCGCCGCCTCCTGCGCAGGGGATGCGCCACTGCTCGCCAGCCGCCGTCGCCGAGCCTCTGGCCCCTCCATGCCATCCTCCTCCTCCAGATCGGCGCGCCGGGGAGCACCTAGCAGTTCGTCATGGTCGCGGCCAGCTCCCGTGATGCAGGGGATGCAGGGGAGAGGATGATTCAGCAGCAAAGCAAGCTGTCTACTCTAATTCTGCATGTACATCCCCTTCCCTATTCTTGATCTACTCTGCTTCTGCAGTTCTTGCTTAATTTTGTTTGTTCCCCACTTCCCCTTCCTGATTTTTGCCCATTCTTGATTGCTTCATTGCTTGCATGCAATAGGTGGTCTCTCCAAATTTGGTAGTGCTGGCACAAGCTAAGTGCTAGTGCTAATCCTAGCATAGGATCTGTGGGCTGTGGCTATCAGCCACAATCACAACAGAGAACCGACATTAGGATTTCCTGTAACTCGAGTTTTAGACTTTCACAATTTTAATTTGTATTATTATTTATTTATTAAAAAATAGTAAAATGTATCCGCGTATCATGTTTTCTAGAAAATTGCCGTATCCGCGTATCCGTATCCTTCCGATACCGATACACGTATCCGTATCCGTGCTGCATAGGTTTCGCATCCCTTTTACAGTTTTACATTCTAGGCATTGCATTGCCCTTCGGTAAACTAATCATCAAGTTTTCTACTATAACATAGATACACATACAACATGAATCTGAAAATTTGACCAACAGCAAATAATATCTACTAGTCATGTACACATATACAATCTCCTGCTGCCTACTAATCATTATTCAATTATGAGGCAGATCACATCTGACTTCATGCAAGTAAGAAATCAGTATGGTCCTATTATCTACTAGTGGTGTGGATCCAATTTCATACCCAAGACAATCATACACAGCAGTCACATCACTAGCACAGTTTGTCAGACACGGAATCATTATTCAATTAATAGGTAGCTTTTACCATTCTAGCAACAACAAAATGGAGGACAAACTAACAATGCAAAAGATAATATATTTTCTCTATCTTTTTTACCAGAACACAGCTTAAAATTTCATCACGGATCCCATAACACCATCATCAATTCAATAATGCAATGAGTAAAACAGGACAGATCCAATAGAGAGAAAACATCACCTCGCGGAAGGTGAACCGCTCGTGGAACATCAGCGCGAGCAGGAATGATGCGGCGACGAGCACCGCATGGCGGAAGGTGTCCTGCTCCTTGTCGTACGTCCTCCGTACCTGCGGGTGGCGGCGCACGCACCACACGATGGCCGCCGAGCTGGTGATGAACACCACCTTCATCATCGAGTTGTAGAGCGAGACGTAGTCCGTGAAGAGGTCCAGGTACCTCGCGACGAACACCAACATGTACAGCTCCTGCGTCTTCCTCGACACCCCTGCGCGGCGGCGCCCAGATCTGTAAGCGGCAAGCCCCCCGTAACAGGCGGTCGAAACCCTATCGCTGCTACGGCTTACCTGAGCAGGACTTGGTGGCGTAGATCTTGAGGAGGAGGACGAGGACCGAGAAGAGGTGGGTCATGTCCCCGAGGAACCGGAAGGCGTTCATGGCTGCGGTTCCGGCGGTGGCGGCGCCGGCGGCGCAGAGGCTAGGCCGTTAGGGTTTGGGGGTTTAGAACAGCAGCTCCAGATGCGCAGGGAAATGGCGGAGAGGATCAGAGGAGAGGTGGGCTGAGGACACCAGGACAGGAAGAAACGAGAAGGGTGGTGGCACCCTCGTGGGCCGGTGTGGACAGAGTCTGCACGGCGGGGACCACATGGCAGTGACCCATGGATCAGTGGAGTTGTGCAGCAAGAGAGGTCCAGAGGGAGGTGCGCGAGCGACGCGTGGGCCTCGGTGCGGACTTGCTGTGGGTCCCACGTGTCAGTTACGGATGGCGAGGTGTGGGCGTCGTGGGGCAGCGAGCAGAGGTGACGTGGCCGGGCACCTCACCTGCGCGGTGACGTCATCTCGCCGGCTCTTTTTTTTTCCTCTGGCTTGCACTTTGCACAGCCCCTCTCTCACATGCCGCTGATGCTTCGCGTCTCCTACTCCCTCCTGCTTCCACCTATTAATCCACCGCACTCTCTTCCCTCCCCCTTCCACCCGCCTCTCCCGCCGCGAGATCCGGCTCCGCTTCCAGAAGCTTCTGGAACGCCCGTTCCATGAGCGTCTGATCGGCCGCCGCCATGGGCTGCGCTGGATCCACTCCCAAAGTCGATGGTATCTTTTTGACGCTTGCGTTCTCGATATGTTTCCTTTTGGCTGCGAGCTGTTAGCTGCTAAGATCCGATTTGAGCCGTTCCAAGGCACTGCTAATAGTAGGATTAATCGTCTGTTCTTTACTCTTCTTGATTGTCGATGCAAATGACGCTAAATCCCATCCCATAGCTTTTAAGGCATCAATTCACGAGCCATAAAAGAATTCAGTTGCCGAAGTGTTGATCAAGAGGAAATTTAGCAAATTGTCTCTGACGGATGGCTGCGATGATTTTCACAAACTACTGCTTTAGCAAATTTGTCACAAACTATGGATTTTCATCGATGTAATTGTCCAATTTTGGTAAGGCTGTCAGTATAGTGGAGTCAGTACTGATAGAAAGTAGAAACTCTTGCATCCTGAATTTAGTATTTGGTTAGTGGAGGAATAACATTATCATGGCTAAAAAAAGGTGTCCAAGTGTCAAAGTAATATGATGCCAAGTACTGTGGCAGGCGCGCCTATAGTATGCTATGCTGTATTTAATTGAACTGCTCTGTTTCTATGAAATAAAGTGGGAAAACCTTTTTCTCTCAAAAAAAGGTGTCCAAGTGATGGCTATATTTTCTAGCAGGACAAAAGCTATTTTGTTTGTACCTAACAAAAAGCAAAGATAAGATTTCGATAGCAGCGAAGTTACGGTAATGCTCATCATAGAACAAAAGAACCTTTTTTATGGATTGAGCAAATTTGCATTTTTTGATAGCTAGTGCCTTATCTAGTTTAAAGCACTTTATTACGCCGGTACATTTCAGGAAAGGCTTACAGAATGATACTCTATGCAAGTACTTATACTCACTATTTGAAATTTGCATAATAATTTTTCGTTATTGTGCTTCGTAACTTCAGCATCAGAAATAGTGTGTTCAATTAATGGTAACTTTGCTCACAGTCTATGTAGATAATTTAGTGAACACTAATTTTGCCTTTTCCTTTTCTGTGTTCTGCAAAGAGTCATGCATCCATAATCTTGCTTGTGAATTGTGGACAAAAATGTGCTGCAAGTTGGTCTTGCCGCCAACTAAAGAAAATTATTGCATCCTTCAGTTACCAACAGTTTGTGAATCCAGATTTCTTCTTGACTACCTCTCTATCCTTGCGCAATGGTATCTATGGTGACACACTTTTGGAGGTTATTAGCAGTATTCTTTGATAACTCTGTGCCTTAGTTTCAAAAAAAAAAAAACTATGTGCCTTTGGACCTGCTATCCAATAAATGAACGTTAAACATATATTTTCATGAATACAGAGAACAGCAAGAAGCTGAAAAAGCCTAAGGCTTGGAAGCATACTCAACCAATTACACCAGCACAACTCAAACAGATGCGTGATGAATTCTGGGACACGGCTCCACACTATGGTGGCCAAAAAGGTATGTTTAACTGTTCATGCAAAGTTGAACAGAACTAATTCTTGTGTTGGTGCGTACTTCATGATTCTTGCAACATTGGTTGGTTTTATCCTCTCTCATTTTTCAATGTTTTCATGATAATAACTGGCTGATGTTTGTGTTGACCTGTCCAATTACTATCTTTAAATTTAGGAGTCTAGTGATTCAATTTAAACTCAAGTTTTCAACAAAAATAATGCTGAGCCCTTATTTAAATGGTATACTGGCTTAATATCAAACAAGAACCAGGTCTTAATCTTATTGGGTAATATGACTCGACTTCTTTGTTTGTTTGCCTTTGTGGGTAATCTTGAGTTTGGTTGCACACAAATAGTTGGCTTGGAAAATGGTCATTTTTTCTCAAAATCGTTGGTACTGACCAAATGCAAATTGATATTGTATCGTTCATTTATAGTAGTTTCGAAGCCATGCTTTCTGTTTCTACTATGAGACGTACTACTTTAATTAGCGTCACTACTGTAACAAGTCGCTGTCTCGTTGTCCAGAGATTTGGGATGCTCTAAGAGTTGCCGCAGAATCTGATTTAGCCCTTGCACAAACCATAGTGGACAGTGCTGGAATCATCATTTCAAATCCTGACATGACGCTTTGCTACGACGAGAGAGGTGAGCATGACTTATTCCCAATCTAATGATTTTCTCCTCGAGTTGTTCAAGACCAATACCGAAACTTAAAACTCTGTTGCAGGTGCCAAGTACGAACTGCCTAAGTATGTTTTGAGCGAGCCAACAAACTTGATCCGCGACGGGTGAATCTGGAGCCAGGACTTACCACACGAGCAGGGCCTCGCAAATTATGTGAATGTTGATTTGGTCGCTGATTCTGGATTGTGACTTTCAGAGACAATATGAAGCTTCTTTCAGCAGTGTATAGTAATCTTATTGGACACGCTGTAGACCAGCCACTGAACTCGGTTATACAGGAGAGTGCTGACTATGGTGCATATACACATGTAATCACCAGTCCATCCTTTGCACTTGGAGAAAAACTACACACGTGCCTGTTTGCGAAATGTAGTGTCATTTATGTGCAATTCGCATCGAAGTTGTTGCTGTCTATGCCATGTGAGTATGTGACAGAACTCAGAAGAAATGAAATGCCTGTCAAGAACGACAGTTTTATTTTTTTCTTTGGGGTGAAAGACCCTGGCAAGAACAACAGTAACAGGAAGCTGCCAAAGGGAGTAAAACTGGTAGGATAAGATTAACATGAAGCTGCCAAATAAACTAACTAATCATGGTCGCGCATCATGAATAGGCCAAGGCTGCTTACAATCAAATCCTGCCTCAAGTAAGCTAGTGTCGGATCTGAGATCGGATCGGCAGGGAAAGGACAGATCTTCCGAAATGGTCTAGTGAGCTGAGCGGAAGAACTGGAGAGACGAGAGTGGTGTGGCTTGGGACATGATAGGTGGCCATTGCTGTTGCGCTTTCTCTGCTTTCTAGAGCGAAGCTCCCGTGTTTGTCCCAACGTCTGGAACATACAGAAAGGCCGTAGCAATCTCGATGCAGAGGAAAGTCGTGCGCGTGCCCAGCAAGTTATGTACGTATGACAAACTTGGCTCTAGTTACGTGACCAAATAGAGTAAACTGTACTGTACCGCGCTGTGGAAGCACAGCTGAACTTCGGTTATACTCCACTTATCAGCAAGGAGGTACGGTATAGGCAGGGATTCCACTCCACCCAACTGTCTCTTAACGATCGTTGCGGAGTACGGGCCGAGCTATTGGCCCCGTTCGGCTCGTTGAAACTTGACTGAATTGGCTGAAAACACTGTTTTGGCTGAATTGTTGTGAGAGAAAAACATTGTTCCGACTAAAAAAACAAGCTGAATAGTGCGGATTATAAGGTAAGCCGAACGGGACCATTGTTAGGCGATATTGTTTGCTAGTACTACCAATTGATTACCCCTATAAATCCAAGCCTCTTCAGTCTTACTGTCCACTGGGCTGAACAGGAGCTGTTCGACTGATGGTTTCTACGACTGATAAATTGGCTGAAGTTGATTTGTTGTGAGAGAAAAAAGTTCAAGCGACCGTGGTCCGTGTTGTGCACACATTCCAGGGCTGTGAAAGTTTTTTGAGCCAGCTTGAGGGTTGTGAGAGTCATCAGACTTTGAGTGAGTATTAAGAAACTAAGTACTACCGTGCCAGTATATGGAGCAGGGCCTAACTGCTCGGGACAGGGCAGGTCACAGTCTCGTACTTGCGGGGCCGGTAGTGTGGCATCTACGCTTGGTGTATGTGACAGCTGCACGCCTGCACTGCATCTGCGTGCAGCGTCTGAGGTCGTAATTCTGCGTGCAGGACTGCAGGAGCAATGCAGTGCAGGGGAACGCTTCCTGGTGGTTTAGTAACGACATGTGCATCAAACAACAGATATCGTAATTCTCCCGACGCAGACTACTAGTACAAAGTCATATTTCATCTTCAAGCGAACAGGGCCGTACATTTGCTTTACCTTTTCGGTCCCAAAAGTCTGGTGAACATGGTTACAATGCGGGTTTCAGGGTGCTCTCTGTCCTCTGCTTCTGCAAGTTATTCCGATCGTCTGCAAAATCACTATTCGAGCTCATTTGGACATCCGATGGAGACCTGGAAGGTGAGACTTCCATCGAGCGTGTGTTGGGGTGTGGCCCGTGAGTTCGTTTGGCTAAAATTTGGCTTAGGCTCATTTACTGTGGGAGAAAAAAAACTGTCCATTCACTGAGTAATGCTGCAGAACATGACCAATAGTTTAATATAGACTAATTATAAAAAAAATTTACTCCCTTCTTTCAAGAAAGAATACAATTTGAAAACAATATCATGTTTCGTTATTCTAAGTTTGGCCAATTATATAGATAAAAAATATTTATATTTATAATACCAAACAAATATCCTTAGATTAATTACAAATAAATATTTTTATAATAAATTAATTTGGTGGCATAAATGTGAATACCGTACACTAGAAACTTGGTCAAACGTAAACCACCTTAACTGGCATGCAATCCATCGTTGTATTCTTTGTTGGATAGAGGTAGTGGTTTTTTAAATAAAGTCTGTTTGGTTGGTGTCGTAGTTTGCAATGTCTCACCTTCGGCAAACTATGTCTACCACAGAAAGTGTGGCGAGCAAAATTAAAGCCACACTTAAGACAAAATTTAGCAAAAAATAAGTTTATAATGTGTGGGATAGGATGCTAAGAAAGGTCATGTCCACTTCTCTTATAATCCGTACTTTTCAGCTTGTTTTTCAGCCGGAACAGTGTTTTTCTCTCACAACAAATTAGTCGGAACAGTGCTTCAGCTTGTTTTTTCAGCGAAGCGGACGGAGGCTTAGCGTGACATGTCATAATTGTGACAGTAGACCAAATAGCTAACAAAAAAAACTGTGCCGTGATTAAGCTTTTGCGTGACAAGTTTTGGCACGAAACCAACACATTTATTAACTCTTAGTTAATAATTGGCCTAGATTTAGCTCTGTATTTGACATCAACAAACCCATGCGATCCAATCGCTCTCCCGTTGACTGGAAGTATGCCGAGAGCTCAGGCCTTCCACGTCCACGGTTTCACCATGGACTGGAAATTGAAACTGGAAGGAGGGAGACCGGGACTGGGAGAGCGTGGTGACGTCCCTCGTTGTCTGCGCCATTCCAGCGACGCCAGACTGACGGGTACTCGTGCAGAGCCTGCAGGGAGCACGCCCACTGTCTCCCTTTCTGGCCTTTCCTGCTCCTGCCAGAATCCTTGCAGAGTATTTTTGCTGCACGCCCCAACGGCCCAACACGATTGATGGATCACGCTGTGCCAGCGGAGTGGCGAACGCAAATCACGCTGGGGCTACTGGGGCCTGGCCGCCTGGGCTATGGTATGCCGTAGCACTTCGTCACGTCGCGTGGGTCTAGCGTTTCCCCCCCATTCTAGCCGTTCCGCCCTGCCCGCCCCGACACGTGGGGCTGCGCCCCTGCTCGCTGGCGCCCGTCGGCCGTCGCCATCTCCGGATGACCGGATGTCCGGGGGCGGGCCTGGCCTTTGCCTTACGTGTCTGTCCATCATCAACTCGACACTCATATATGTTCCGCGGCACCCACCAGCCGACGTATGTGCTCACTGCCGCGTGGGACCGTCGGCATTGTTTTGGAACGTTGTGTGGGGGCGACGATCGGAAAGCTCCTGGGTGGCGACGGTTGCGCCGCCGGATACGGAGAGCATCCGGTGTCCGTCCGACTTCCGTGGGAGGAAGGAGACAGGGGACATGTGGGTGACGACAGGTACGATACGACGAAGATCTGCGGGCGGCAGGCCCCGCGTGCGAGACATGGGGTCGTCGTGCTGCTCGTACACTACAGTCTACAGTCCCTGCGCCGTGCGGTACTGTGCGCGGCTGCTGCCCAAGCACAGTGATGGGGAACAGACAATTAATCATACGGTAATGGTTCTCCTTCTGGTTGGTTAAGATAGGTGCATGTTTAGTTCCCAAAATTTTGCAAAAATTTTTAAGATTCTCCGTCACATCGAATCTTTGGACGAATCATTAAATATAAATAAAAAATAAAACTAATTACATAGTTTAGACGAAATTCACGAGACGAATCTTTTAAGCCTAATTAGACTATGATTGGACATTAATTACCAAATAACAACGAAGGCCGCCTTCCTGCACGCTGGGGCCTCGACGTCACTGTCGGGGCTCGTGCCGCCGCTGCAGCTCCCCGCCATCTCCTTCTTCTTGGCCGCGGCGGCGCGGGAGGCGCGCCTGCACCTCGCCCGAGCACGTGGCTGACAAACGAAGCCCACCGTAGGGTAAAATAGTCATTTCACCTGTCTATTTGATACCGTTAAGTAGAAAAGCGGACGGAATGACTTGAAGAGTAAAGAAGTTCAAAACGATGGCACTCGTGTGTGGTCAATTTTTTTAATAATTTATGTATAATTATAAACTTTTATAATGGCATATGTAAAAGGCTCCTCCCCCTCGCCTGTCGCGAAACGATTACCCGACACGGGTCCCCAACCGAGATGACGGTTTAGCCGGAGACGGGAGAGTGGGGCGGGGAGAGGGAGTTTGAACCAGCGCAATGCCGGTGCCAGCGAGCGGCGGCGGGGACCACCTCCGCGCCCACGCGCACCTGACCAACTGCAGCCACCTGCGCCACCACCACGGGCCGCACGGCGCGTCCGGGCGGAGGCGCAGCCCGACGGGGTCCTCGGCGTCGGCCGCGCTGATGCGGAACCTCCTGGCCCTGCAGCGCTCGCGCTCGCTGTGGGACCCCTCCACCCGCCGCTCCGTCGACTCCGCCCCCTCCAACAACAACAGGGTCGCCGCCGACCCGGACGCCGACCACCCCCGCGGCAGCGGCGGCGCGCTCAAGACGCTCCTCGACCAGCTCACGGAGAACCCGCAGCCCAAGCAGGGCCGCCGGCCCCGGCGCCGGTTCAAGCGAGGGGCCTCCCGCCGCGCCGCCGCCACCGCACAGCCCGCGGCCGCCTTAGATCGCCGCGCCGCTGCGCCCCGCGTCTCCGTCAACTCCAGCTCCCAGGAGGCCGTCTGCGGCAACAGGTACCTCTTCGGCGCTGGCGGAGCGCTGACGGCGGCGACGGCGGCGGTGACGAGCTGATGCAGCAGCAGGTGTCGCAGGAGTCGCGCAACGTGTGCGGCATCCCATGGAACTGGTCGCGCATCCACCACCGCGGCAAGTCCATCCTCGACATGGCCGGCCGGAGCCTCTCGTGCGGCCTGTCGGACCCCAAAGCCGACGTCGGCGGCGCGGAGGTCCGAAGCCGCCACCTCCGCTGCCTCGTGCGGCCACGCCAACGGTTCGCGTTCGCACCCGCATTTCCCGGTCACCGCGAGGCTCACTTCCTCGAGCAGTTCGGACTCCGACTCTCTGCCTCTGCTTGTCGACGGCATACGCAACGCCGTCGACATTTCTAGTAGCTTCTCTGGGGAGCTCGGGATTTTCCAAGAGAGTAGCGAGCTGGACTCTGACCTCGCGTCCGAGGCACGGTCTGGGCAGAAGTCACGGGGCTCGCACCGTGTCCGACACCGGAGCTTGACACAGAAGTATGCTCCAAGGACTTTCAAAGACGTCGTCGGGCAGAGCTTGGTGGTGCAGGCGCTGTCCAATGCCATTCTGAAGAAGAAGATTGGGCTGGTGTATGTCTTCTATGGGCCACATGGCACAGGCAAGACCTCGTGTGCCAGGGTATTTGCAA